GTGTGTGTGTGTGTGTGTGTGTGTGTGTGTGTGTGTGTGTGTGAGAGAGAGAGAGAGAGAGAGAGGTGCAAAAATCGGGTTGAGTTTTCTCAAGTGCACATCTCCAGAAACACGTCCAGATACGGGCGTTGAGAAAACTCAACGCTGCTACTGGGACTTGGCCCCCGGGAGAGGGCAAACCGTTTCCAACAGGGGGCAAATCCGCACGCCGGGGGGCGTCATGGCCACATTGTGCCTGGCTGCACTACTCTCCAAATGTGCAAGATGAGTCTGAATCTCCCTCTTCGTCTACATCACGGGCACCTAACACGGCTACCCCTCGCAGGATTAGGGCCTCGCCACACGCCACACATCCACTTGAAAGTTGTAGCCCGAAAACTCTTTCGAGAGTTCTCAGAACCTCGTTTCGAGAGTAGCTCTCGAAACTCCGACGGGCCCTTGATTTTCGATCGTCCTGCCGAGGGCACTCGACGGGCCCTTGATTTTCGAGAGTTGTCAGGCCATTATAGTGACGCCATTCGGAAAAAACAAAGCTGCGGGACTGTCGTTTTCCATCGTTTGTCCAACACCCTCACGCTTTCGAGAGTGCTGTGTGACGAAGGCGCCCGAACTCTCGAAAACTCGACTCTTGAAAAAGTCTGACAACTCTCGAAAAATTTTCGCGTTTCGAGAGTGGTGTGGCGAGGCCCTCAATCAGGGAGGTTTCAGCCAGGGAGATACCACCAGCCTACCTTCTCTAGAGATGTCCTTTGTGCAAGATGAGTCTGAATCTCCCTCTATAACATGGAAACATACAGTGCCATCCTTTTGTCCTTTGTGGATGGGAAGAGTAGTACAGCGAGGCCACATTGTTTTTTTTTGTCCTTTGTGCATGCTAATCTTCTCTGTATCGTTCCACTTTTAACAGATGTCCCGAAGGACGAGGGCACATTGTCTTTCTTTTTTTTTTTTTTTTGAGGCCTTTTGAAACCCTTTTTTTTTTGAGGCCACATTGTTGCTGGCGTTTCACAATTGAATTTACCCCCCTTCGGACCTCTGGGGCGTGGTCTCACTAGCAAAGAGGATCCGGATCGAATGCCTGAATCTGGACGAGGTTATGGAGAGGTGCAGAAAATCGAGATTGAACTGCTTTCCTGCATCTCTGGGTAAAACACATCCAGATTCAGGTGTTCAATCCTATCCTTTTTGCTAGTGGGACCTCAGCCCTGTACACGTGGAGGTGGGCGGCCTGAACAAGCCCGACGAAAAACGTCCGCCGTGTGGGCCCACTGCGGCCCCACTGCGGCCACGTCGGACAGGAAAAAACAGAAAACAGGTTGCAGACTCCCCCAGGCCGATCCTGCCCCAAGCCCCTGGACTCTTTTTCTTTTTTTTTTCTTTTTTCTTTTTCCTGGACTTTGCGCAATGCCAATTTCTTTTATTTTTCTTTCACGTTCCTTTTTTTTTTTTTTTTTTTTTAACGTTCATTTTCTCCGAAGGGCGACGGCCTTGGGATACCATCATTGAAGTGACCTGCCCCAGGTCAGGTAGGGTTGCGTCGGGGTGTGTTGTGTTCGGCGGAATGCCCGAAGTAAAATTTGAATTTCGAACTGCTTCTGTGACTGTACTCAGTCTGAAGTTAGGGCCTCGTTCCGCAGCACTTGAAAAACGTAACTATTCAAAAAAAAAAAAAAAAAAAAAAAAAAAAAAAAAA